TTGCTGCGCCAATCAGTGTGATGCCGCTTGAGCAATTCGCGGGCTGGGAGAGCCGGTCCTGAGAAGAAGATGGCAAGTATCAAAAAGAGTGTTGATATCCTATTAATAGGAATTATTGAAAAGCCTCATCGGTTTAGAACTTTAAATCACTGCCCCCTATATTGCCCCAAATGTCCCAAACAGGCACTTTCGTGAGCTTATTTTACAGGCAGGCGTGGCAGGACGACTTTTAACCCTAACCCTATATGCTCCGCGATAGTAGCGGCTTGTGCGCAACTGGACAGGGTTTATTAAGCAACATCAACCCCACATTGTCGCACTGCAAGGACACTCGTCACAACTCGACAACATCACCATCCACATCCAGCTTCCGCCGACCTCACAGGCGTGGATTCTCGCCATGGTCCTTCAAGATCTTGGCCGCCGCATAAATGCGGCCGTCAGCGACCTGACGCGGGCACCAAATCTTGACGAAAAAGCAAGCTCAATTCCCAATCTGTCTGCCCGATTCCCAGGGGTGTTGCCACCACGCATGCAACCCGTTGCTGACAATAAGCAAATCCACAGGCCTTCGATTCGATGCTCAAGCAAATATGTTCCGCCCTGCTCGAAGCCGATGTCAACGTGCGCCTGGTCGGCCAGCTGCGCAAGTCGATCCGCGCCACCGTCAACTTCAAGGAGCTCCCGCCCGCCGTGAACAAGAAGCGGCTGATCCAGAAGGCCGTCTTCGACGAACTGGTGCGCCTCGTCGATCCGCATGCCGAACCCTTCAAGCCCAAGAAGGGCAAATCCAACGTCATCATGTTCGTCGGTCTCCAAGGTGCCGGAAAGACGACAACCTGCACGAAGCTCGCCAGACACTACCAGTCGCGCGGCTTCCGCACCGGTCTGGTGTGCGCCGACACCTTCCGCGCCGGTGCCTTCGATCAGCTGAAGCAGAATGCGACCAAGGCCAAGATCCCCTACTACGGCAGCCTGACCGAGACGGACCCCGCCGTGGTGGCCCGGGACGGCGTCGAGAAGTTCAAGAAGGAGCGGTTCGAGGTCATCATCGTCGACACGTCGGGCCGCCACAGACAGGAGAGCGCGCTGTTCCAGGAGATGGTGGATATCCAGGCGGCGATCCGGCCGGACGAGACCATCATGGTCCTGGACGCCTCGATCGGCCAGCAGGCCGAGGCGCAGGCGAAAGCGTTCAAGGAGGCGGCCGATTTCGGCGCCATCATCATCACCAAGACGGACGGCCACGCGGCGGGCGGCGGTGCCATCTCGGCCGTCGCGGCGACGCACACGCCCATCGTCTTCATCGGCACGGGCGAGCACATGCTGGATCTCGAGCGGTTCGTGCCGCGCAACTTCATCAGCAAGCTGCTGGGCATGGGCGACATGGCCGGGCTGGTCGAGCACGTGCAGAGCCTCAAGCTGGACCAGAAGGAGACCATCAAGCACATCAGCGAGGGCATCTTCACGATCCGCGACCTGCGCGACCAGCTGCAGAACATCATGAAGATGGGCCCGCTCAGCAAGATGGCGGGCATGATCCCGGGGATGAGCAACATGATGCAGGGCATGGACGACGAGGAGGGCTCGCTCAAGCTCAAGCGCATGATCTACATCTGCGACAGCATGACCGAGAAGGAGCTCGACAGCGACGGCAAGCTGTTCATCGAGCAGCCGACGCGCATGACGCGGGTCGCGCGCGGGTCGGGCACGACGGTGCGCGAGGTCGAGGACCTGCTCACGCAGCAGCGCATGATGGCGGGCATGGCCAAGAAGATGGGCGGCAACATGAAGAACATGCAGCGGGCGCAGAGCGCCATGGCCGGCGGCAACAAGGCGCAGCAGCTGGCCGCCATGCAGAAGCGGCTGCAGAGCATGGGCGGCATGGGCGGGGCCGGCGGCATGCCCGACATGGCCAGCCTGATGAAGATGTTTGGCGGCGGCGGCGGCGGCGGTGGCATGGGCGGTCTCGGGGGGATGGACATGAGCGCCATGATGAGGCAGATGGGCGGCATGATGGGGGGCCAAGGGGCACGTGGCGGGCGGAGGTAGTCGTCGGAACGTCGCACCAAAGAGTGTTTCCATTTTCTCTTTCTTCCTGTCATTCAATGTGCAAGGTCAACGGTCAAAAGGGATCGCATCGGCTGGCGTCAGGGGTACAGTACAGTACAATGGGGGGGGGGGCCGGTCTGCTGAATGATCATACGAACCAACGTGTCTTTGAGCCATACTTATTATCCAAAATAACTGCAACGATGTGAGCAACCCAACATGGACATGCATGACTTCTAACCTTAGCGCAGATAGACAAAACGGACCCTAATACGCCGGTGTTATGATGCAGTATCCAAGAGTTCCCAAACCATACCATTTCTCTGAAGCATCTCCTTGTTTATGTACTGACATACGTCGAAGGAGCGCTGCCCACCACATCACGGCCTTGGCCGTAGGAAAGGATGGGCCTCGGTGTTGAACACATACTTGTCGAGGCTGATGAGCTCGGGCGGCGAGAAGACGAGGTAGAAGTATTTCAGCGTCTCGGCAATCCAGAAGCTCTGCGAAGGTTAGCAACTACACTTGTGTTTAAAAGGCCAGAGACTCGCTGACTGACCTCCATGTAATCCTCCAGCTCCAGCAACTGCGGCTTGGCCACGGTGACGTCAACTACCGCTGCGGCACCCAGTTCCGTGGCCGTTGCTTCGGCCACAGCCCGGAACATATCCCACGCGGCGTCCTGCCATTCGGCGTCGCCCGTGATGCGCCACATGTAGAACACGCTCTCGATGGCCTCGGGCCGGAGGATGTACCGCTTGTCAGTGACCGTGGTGAAGCCCTTGGGAAAGCTCTGCTCCGGTTTGTTCAACTTGTTGTTGTCGTTGTTGTTGGACTCAGTCCCGCGCAGCTGCATCCGCTCCTGCTTCTCCCTCTCCTCCATCCACCTGTCCTCGTCCCACTTGCACGCCTTCCCTTTCTTCTTCTTCATCACCTCATCATCATCGTGCTTACAAGGCACCATGCGAAACCGCTCGGGCATCAGTCCCCTGGGGAAGGCGCGGTAGGCGTAGACGCACCCGCGCGTGAGCCCGGCGCCAACGCGGACATCCTCCTCGCTGTGCAGCAGCCGGCCGGCCAGGGCGAAGGTGCCGCCGATGAAGCAGGTGAGATGCTCTGTTTCGGGGTCCAGATGTGGCTCGCCGGTCTGCTGATCGATGTGGACAGTTCCGCTGATGAGGATGTCATTATTGTTGTTATTGTTGTTGTTCGATGATAAATCGGAGGGGGGGATCATAGGCCGGAAGAAGAGGTGGCGCTTGGCGGCGTCCATGAAGGTTTGTGTGAGAACTGGGAGGCGGGGGTCGCCTCCTGAGAGGAGGACGTGCAGCTTGGGGAAATATTCGTACAGGCTGTCGGCACAGCCTCCCAGGGTGAAGGTATCGCCTGTTGTGACGTCTTCGCGGAGCATGGACACGAACATGGGGAACAGGCCCGGCAAAGCGGTCTGGTTCTGGCCGCGGTAGAAGAGCTCGACGATGGCCGTGATGGCGTCGTAGTACTTTGGGTCGCCCGTCAGCTGGGAGAGCCGGGTCAGCTCGAGGGTCAAGGTCCCCGGGGATGCTGACACGACCGTGTTCTCGACAACGAGGCCCGACCCGGCCTGGGCAGCCTCAAAGTTGATCATGTCGACCGGCATCCGGTTCTCCGTGTTGAAGCCGCCGTAGATGAGGTCGCCCAGCTCCACGGCCTTTTGCAGCAGCACCTCCCGCCCGCTGAGGTCATATGCGGCCAGCAGCCCTCCGAGATAGCGGATGTTGGTCTCGAAGATGTTGACGATGGGGGATGTGGAATTTCCAAAGTCGATCTCGACCACCGCGGCAACGGCCTCGTCGAATTTGTCCCGGAGGCCCATGATCCACAGCGTGTCGAGCGAATCGACCAGCGTGGCCGCCCAGCCCGAGAACTGGTCCCTGCCCGTCCCCGACAGCGGCATCAGGGCGTCTTGCTTCCACGCATATCGGCGGTAGCTGTCCCACGACTTCTTGGCCAGCCGCAGCACCGCCCTCCGCCGCGCCTCGCGTATCCTGCGAGCCTCGGACGATTCTCTCCCGAATCGATGCTGGATCCGTGGCAGCACGCTCCGCCTAGGCGGTTTGGGCACCCCGATGGGCGGCTGTGGTGGATAGCGGTATTCGATCTTTCCCCAGTCAACGCTGCTCTTGGTCACCGTCCACGGGTGAGACGATGGCCCTGAGTTCATGAGCCGCTCGAGCAAGACCGACTCGCTGGTCTCAAAACGGTCGAGGAAGTAGAGCAATGTTAAGATAAAGATGATGGCTAGGACAGTGTTCTTTGTTGTCCTCGACCTCAATCTGAAGGCCGCGAGACGGGCTCGAGGCCGAAGTGGACGCCATAGCTTGCGGTAAGCGTATGGCGGCATGGTTGAGAAAAAAAGGGGCGGACCTCAGCCCTCGCATAAAGGAACAACGAAATAGAAGGGGCGATAGGGGATGGGTAAAATCAATCAAAACATTGGAAACAGGACAACGACTAATGATCCAGCCATGCTTCATCCATGCCTCAACCAAGTTCAAGTCGAGTGAGGACACTTCCAGGTTCAGAGTCTACACTGTCAAGGCGACATTGACTGACTAGCCGCGCGCTACTCACTTTCCTTTGTCCCAATCCGCGTGCTGCGGTCTGCACGGTGCGGAAGACCCAATCGGAGATTTTTCTCGGAGTGGTACCAAGCCACAAACAAGCGAATTGTGCCGTCTCGGCTGAAACCGAGTGATGATCGGTGCCACGCTAACTCGTGCATAGTCTATCTGGTTATTCAAAGTGCAGTAGAACGACCTACTAGCTCTAGGTGCCGCTCTTATGCCGGATAGATGTGGTTGTTGAATATGAAGTCAATGGAAAAGTTTACGTTCCTGATGCTGACTTCCACGCATCGGATGGTTGTTTAATATTCACCAAATTACAAGGCGCTCTTCAAATTGCCAGTCACTTTGGCGGAGTGGTTAACGCGCTGCCCTGCTAATTCACAAGTTAGCCTGTTAGGCAGTTCCCTCGGGAGCGTAGGTTCGAATCCTACAGGTGACGACTTTTTCTTCTCCTATGCTCCAGGAACGTTTTTGACAGTCCTCTCCCAACCTTAAAACCCCCTGCTCAAAGCTGCCAACCACTTCACGGTTGCTGTATCTGCCTGTAGGTATACCAGAAACTCTGCTACGGCGCTAGCCACCGTAGATTTCCACTTTCAGGGGACACTTCCAATCAGTTACTTTGAGTCAGACACTGTAGTATATCACGGCCCAAACGGCCAAGGAGCTGCAGGTGTCTGGTGTCGTGACATTTGAAGCGCTTAGCAAACAACCTGTCATCCCTTATGCCTAATGTGTAACTCAGGCATCAAAGGTTCTGCAGATTTGTCGCCTGATAGAGTTGTGTGAACGGTTTGTTGACTGGTCATATCAGAGCGGAAACTACACTTCATACTCATTTGAACCAGCATCGATTGGGTTATATAACACCGCCGGTTTTGAGTAGTGACACCGAACTTGAAGGTAACTCGAGGTAGAGGTGAAGACGACTCAGTGTGAGAGCGGCCCATGAGACGAGGTGAGTGAGGTGAGGGACGAACCCTAACCCCTAACCACAGTCGTATTTTGACATCTGCAAGCGCGGGCCTCGGCGAAAGCGGGATGGCGCCACACAGATTTCATGACCACCTCACTCACCGCCTCCAGAGAGGGGCAGTCCCCCTCGCCTAATCATCGGTATCATTCTCCTCCAGGGTCTTGATCCATCATGCGACCTCTTTCCGAGGAGGCCAGCCTCCGATTGTCGAAGCGGAAGAGCCGGAATGCAGAGCACCAGCCTCCATTATGCAGCATCAAGGGGTCAAGTTCATCACCGAGGTCAGGCACTTCCAGGAAGCCTCTCCAACAACGCATTCCATCCGTCCTCAAAGACCCTGGACGCTTGGTGATAACGTTATGCCTCCGGAGGTGGCGTGCCTGGCCATGCCCAACCGTCGAGGTCAATTGACCATGGCAGCCTCAAGTGGTCGCATATCGTGGCCTGCCCAACGCTCATCCTCCGCGATTGTGCATCGAAGTGGCCCATGCTCCATTGGGCCAAACTTGATTGACGGACGCTCGAAGCAGGGGGTTCGGCCTACGTGGCGGCACGCCTGTCAACCAAGCGAGAAGCGCGCTTACTCGAGCATTTTCCATTCCTCTGAAACGTTCGAGGCTGGGTTCCGCACCAGGCTCCCCACCGCAAATGAATGGAGACTCGGAGGCGAGGAGCCCAACCACCAAATTCATCAAATTCGACAATGGGAATCAACGCGGGGCCACGTGGAGATGCCGTTCACATGGCGCCGGTCGCAGAGGGACGCTCCTGCCCCAGCGACTGCCAGTGGTCAAACAGGGCGAACTCGATGGCGGGGCTGCATCCGATTGGGAAAGCTGCACACATCGCTGGCCTTGACTCACAGTGGGACAGTGGTCGCTGCAGCCGCTGGCGCAGTCGCAATGAGACGCAATCACTGCTGATCCCCTTCCCGGACTTCGACTGATCGAGACTTGACAGCTCACCAAGGGCAAAGCAAAGCGATGGCTGCAATGCACATTCGGGAGTCTCGGCTCAAGCAGCCAGTTGCCGTCGGGCTTAGGTAATTGAGCCAGTCCAGGGCAGCCATTGAGTGCTTGAGGCCCAAGTGCGACAAATGGGGAGACTCCAGCAGAGAGAGCTGCGTCTTGAGTTGCGTCTGGTGCATTGGGTGTGTTTTGGGAGTGGCGGCGATGCCAGCTCACAGCGTCACAGCCCGGAGACGAGCCACATCGAGCGATGGGGTAGAAATATGCCCCTCGTCTCCGGGTCTCCGCGTCTGTCCAAAGCCATTGCTGCAACCGCTCAATGAGAAATCTTCTCAACTTCAACATCTACATCACGGTTGAAGCCGCAATCCTCGTCGGACTCACCTTCCTCGCTGCCACCTCCTACATCCTCCGCTTCGTCATGGCGAGGAAAAAGAACAAGGGCGGTGCTCCCAGGCCTCCCCAGAATCCGACTCAGTCGTCGACTGGCTCGACGGCGTCGCCAGCACCCAAGGCAGTGACGGCTTCAAAAGGTGCCGATACCAAAGGCCCTGCCCAGTCAAGGCCGGCCGCCGTTGCGGCTCCCGTGATGAAGAAGGAAGTCGATACCAGACCCGAGACTTCGTGAGTGATGCCCCGGTATATTCCCCGTCGGAATCATCATCAAAAGAGCTAACCCAGTGTCGCCAACCACAGCCCCTATGGCAGCCCCAGCTGCACCATCCCCTTCGCCAGCCCGCTCACAGTGCCGCTGGACATCCTCAAGAAGAGCCCCAAGCTCCATGCCGCCTACGAGCTCCGGCTCCCGGAGCTGACGGCCATCCCCGAGCCTGTCGGCCATGTGCTCGTCCACTACCTGCACACGAAGACCTACGAGGCTCTCAAGCCGAAGGGGACAGACAAGATGTCCAAGCAGATCTGCGAGCTCAAGACGAGCATACAGACGTATGCTGCCGCGCGAGCATACGATCTCCCGGGCTTGATGCGCCTGTGCGAGGCCAAGATCACCAAGTTCGGCGAGGGCCTGTCCCTGCCTGCCCTGCTCGAAGTGGCCCGGGACGCTTACCCGACATTGACCGACGGGGACGACTGGTTCCTCGACTACCTCCGGTCGCGCATCCGCCCGCACCTGAAGGACCCAGAAGTCCTGATGGGGTCCAATCTGCTCGACCAGATCAGCAGCATCCTCTCGCCCAACAAGGTCCTTCTCCGAACCGTCCTGGAGTTGTTCTGCGAGAGGATCGTTGTCCGCCCGGAGCAGCCCGCCGCCGCCTCCACACCCCCGGCGGCTAGCACCATCGCGAGCCCCGTCACCAGCCCGGGCAGTTCGAGGCCCGTCTCCCCTCTTCCTCCGACGTCGTCACCCATGTCGATGCTTGAGATGAGGTCGAGATCCGTTCCCCGGGGAGCGTCTACCCCGCCGTCGCGGAAGAACACCAAGGCGACGCCGTGGCCATCGCCTGATAACCTGTCGGAGGCCTCATCGTCAATCAGGGGAGCGTCCCCCGAACCTGTCATCCCCGAGAAGACCGCCCCGCCTCAGTTCCAGGCTAAGCCGGTGCCTGCACTAGCACCCCCGGCCGCAACCTTCTTGGAGCTGGGTCCCGTCATCATGGATGTCGCGACCGCGCCGGGGCCATCCATCGAGGCCAAGCCCGTGGTTGAGCCCGTAGTTGAGCCCGTGGCTGAGCCTGTGGTCGAGCCTGTGGTTGAGCCTGTGGTCGACTCCACCCCTGAACCCATCCCTGAGCCCGAGGTCAAGGTTGAGGCTGAGCCCGAAGTTAAGGTTGAGACCGAGCCTGAGATCAAGGTTCAGCCTGAACCAGAGATCAAGGTTGATGCTGAGCCTGAAATTAAGGTTGAGGCCGAACCCGAGCCTAAGGTTGAAGCGGAACCCGAGATCAAGGTTCAGCCTGAACCAGAGATCGAAGCTACGCCGGAACCCGCAATCCAGGTCACTACTGAGCCCGAGACCAAACAAGAGGAGGCGACTGTGGCGGACCCTGCTCCTGTGGCCCAATCTGAGAGGAGAGATTCGGGCAAGGACATCGAACTGGAGCTCCCTTCCAAGGAACTCCAGTCCGTCCCCGAAAACATGTCTGAGCTCGAGGCCGAGTTCAACCCTCAGCCTCAGGCCCACCGGCCGGTGGTTCGGGAAGCCGACTCAGGATTCTGGGAAGGTCCCGATGTGGAGGCCGGCAAAGAGCCCGCCCCCTCGATTGTTGAGATTGAGGAGCCGGCGTCAGCCTTGGTACCTATCCCCGAGCCTGTTCACGAGCTCGAATCCAACATCGACCCCAAGGAGATCACGCGCGTCCAAATCCGCGACTTTGCCGATTCCGACGGAGACGTCAAGATGGAGATGGACCACAAGGCCGACACAGAAGCCGAACACCCGAAGGAGATGGCTTCTGAGCTCCCGCCAGCACAGGAGCCTGTCTCCGACGCGGTGGCCGAGAACATCCCCGATGCCGTGACCGACTCCCTGCCTGAGCCGGAAGTTCTGCCGATGAAGCCGGTGGAGGAGGTTGAGGGCAAGCCCACCGATGCAACGACACCGGAGCCTGAGATCACCCCCGCGGAGATACAGCCGGAAGAAGCCAAGGGCAAGGAGGTTGAGGCACATCCGGAGACAGAGAAGGTAGAGCCGTTCCTAAGAGGTCGAGAACAAGAGTCATCGCTAACCGTTGAGCAGGTCCAAGAGGAGACCGTCGAGCCGCAAGAGGTGGCGAAGCCCGAGCCCGAGCCCGAGGCGAACCCGTCAGACGCCATCCCTGTTCCCGACGATGCTCAGCCCGCTGGGTCCACTGAGCCCAAGGCGGCTGAGCCCAGCATCGAGCCGGGGACGAAGCCCACTGGGGAGCCCGCGATTCACCGCGCCAACACTGACTCCGCCGTCCACGCCGCCGCCCGTGCTGTCGATGCCACAGACGCTCCGGCGGTTCTCGGTGCAAAGCCTGCGGTGGAGCAAGAGGGTGCAAAGACTGAGGCCGACGCGGCTGGTGTCCAGCCCTGCAGCGCTCAGGTGAGGCAGCGGAGCTGGAAGAAGCGGTTCCTCAGCCTCCGCTACCCAGTGCTCTTTGGCCGGGGCATGTGACTCGCTCGGCCAACGCCCGCGGTGTTGTCCATCAACAAAAGTCGTGTGTCGGCACCGACGGGCGGCGACCGCAGCAGCAGCAGCAGCAGCAGCCAAGACAAGCTCATTGCGGCCGCAGGGACAACGACAACGGCACACGCACCCCCAATGCAAGAACCCTGTACAGTCTCCTTTGTCGTGCACACGAGTCATGATTCCTCTTCGGCTTCTTCCTCTTCAACTTCCTCGGCTTCTTCCTCTTCAGCATCTCCGGCTTCTTCGGCTTCTCCTTCGGTTTCGTTCTTTTCCGGCTTGTGGCTGGCGCTCGCCGCTCTGGCTTTCGCTTCGACTTCATCATCTCCATCGGCTTCGGGTCGCGACGGAACGGCATTAGATTGGGCATTGCTGGGCTCCTTGGT